GCCTGTGGTCCCAGCAACTTGGGAGGCAGAGGCAGGAGACTCGCTTGAGCCCAGGAGTTGGAGGTTGCTGTGAGCTATGCCATGGCACTCTACCCAGGGGGACAGCTTGAGGCTCTGTCTCAAAAAAAGATAGGGTGACCAGATGTCCCGCTTTTGAACAATTTGTCCTTCGTCCCGCGGTGTTTTTAAAAAGTCCCAATTTTTGGAAAGAATGCACGAACAGGTGGGAGAAAGGAAGGGAATATACAATTTTCGGCTGCCATGTGGCTATTTCGCCAGAATATGCGTTTTATATTATTTTTGTTAATTTTATAATGTTAAACTGTAATAATAACAAATAATTGTTGAGACGTGATTATGGAGAACTGCTTATCAGAGTTTGCATTGTTGTCAGGCCCTGCCCTGACCTGTCCCCCGCCCCGCCCCGCCCCACCCCCCCATTGTCCCGCTTTACAAATGTTAAAATCTGGTCACACTAGGTAAAGACCCATACAGAGGTGGGGCTGTGTGCTTTTCTCTCTCGGGAAGCCAACAGCGTACATGGGAGACAAAGCAGAACACAGGGCACGTGACCTTCTGTCCCTGAAGACCCCTGTTTGTTGTGTGCCACAGAAGCCCCTGGAATTTGGCTCCAGGAGAGGAAAAGGAGTGCACTAATACCCTCTTCTCCCGGTTCAGCTTCACAGTTGGGGGATCTGAGTGGGGGCTCCACCCAGAAGACAGGGCTTGGGGGCTGGGGGACACCTCCAGGCCCTGACCTGGCAGCTCCACCAGTCTGAGACCATGATGGGAGACACCTGTGTTCTGTGAACTAAAGTAAAATCTTAAACTCCCCCCACCCCTACTGATTGAATGGACCTCCTTCTTGGCCCAGAGGATACCCTAAAACTCAGGCACTGGTGGGCGGCGCCTGTGGCTCAAAGGAGTAGGGGGCCGGCCCCATATGCCAGAGGTGGCAGGTTCAAACCTAGCCCTGGCAGAAAAACCCCAAAAAACTGAGGCACTGGCTATGAGAAGAGCTCAGATACGCCTCATCATGCCCCCTCCCTTCTTGTAGATATCCCGCTAAGCTCACTAACAGGCCTAAGGCTATCCAAGACAAACCTGCAGTCCTCAATTTACATAACAAACATATGGCCTGCAGCTTCTCTGATGGAAGGACTTCCTTAACTCAAAACAATCCAAGCATTTAGACCAAGCTTTATTTCCTTAACTACTTACAAATCAGTCTTAAACCCACAAACAACCTGCACTGACACCCCCCCCACCACCACCACCACCTGGGTCAAACGAATCCAAGCCTTTCTTGTATTGATTTATGATTTTATGTCTAATTCCTGTCTCCCTGAAATGTATAAAAACAAAGTGTAACCCAACCATAGTGAGTCACTTGCTCAAGGCTTCCTGGGCACGGTCTGGACCATTGTAGGGACGGTTGGTCTTTATAGTGAAATGACAGAAATTGACTCACAAGGACTAAACTCAATCTCTCTCTGTGTGTGTCTCTCTCTTTCTCTCCCTGTGTTCTTTCTCTTCTGCTCATTTCAGTTTTCACAAACCACTGAGGAGCTAAGAAGACAAAAGGAAATGCAAACTCTTTCCCTTTACGTTTCTTCAGCTCCTCTGTCTGGTTCCCAGGGTCCCAAAAGAATAAGGGGGTGTGAACATCAGGCCTCAGGATTAGAAACACCTGAGAAAAGTCCGTCTTAATCTAGCCAGAGGGAAAAGCAGACACGACGTTCACCAACACCTTGTGAATCTGGCGGCAATTACTTGTCCTTCTTTGTCTCCCTTAAAGTCTGCCAACCTCAGACCTCAACAGGGGCATTCTCGTTCTTTGAACACCACACCATCTTCCTGCTCTCTTCTCTCTTTGCCTCTCTTACTCCCTCCTTCCTTTTAAAAGATAGAATGAAGTCTATAGTTTTATATCCTAGGTCTAGAAAGTTCTTTTATCATCCTGCGTGGAACACCTACTGAGCTTTCCACACTATCAGCCATGGCCCTCAAATTTGGCTCAGAATAAACCTCTTTCAATCATTTTACAGAGTCTGGCTTCTTTTCCTTGACAATTCCACAAAAGAAAACTTCATCTCCCTGCTGGAACAGAGCAACAACATTCCTGAGTTCCCCTCTGTATGTAGGACGTGTGACCTGTCACTGTGAAAGCATCACACAGTCAGGAGTGTGAACAGATCCATGCTGTTATTCATGGCATCGAGTGACCATGAGCAGGGCAGGGTGGCCAGGAGGCTCCTAATGACTTCATCTTATAATTCAGAGTGTCTGACATTTCAGTGGACGTAGCCATATAACCAGCTCATTCACTTATACAAATATTTACTGAAAGCCTACAGTGTAAAGTCCACAATTCTTTAAAGGTCATTTGAGGGCTTCCTTAGTACAACTCCTGTCCACCTTGCCTCAAGTCCATGGTTCCTGCCTGCCCTTGGCCTGCCCCTCAGCTGCACGCCCTTCCCATCCCCCTTGCCACTTAGTTCAGTGTCCCCTCTGGGGGGAAGCAGAATGGTCATTTCCCCTCTGTAACTTGAGAGCAGGGACTATCTGACCGATCTGCTGCCTTCAGCACTTTGCACAATGCCTAAATCAAAGAGGAAAGTCTGGAAGAATGACCAAGACACTTGCAACACCAATAGCAGTATACATTCCATCTATGGGTCAGAATCGCCTGCCCCAGGCAGTGTGGGCTTAGGGCCCTGGTAGTTTTCCTCCTGTAGCCAAAGGATCCCATCATTGAAACACATTCACGTTATGTGGGAGGTAAAGGGGAGGAACACAAGAGTATTTTTCATCAGAAGCCAGTGATCTAAATGAACTGTCAACTTCAAGAAAATAACATCTTTAAAAAATATCAGACATAAATAAATGCTTTAAAACATTACTTATGAAGAGTCTGATACCTTTGTTGGGGGGCCTGATACAGTCACACACGAACCCTTTCCCCTTTTCCTCCTAAGACAAAGACACAAAGGATCTGGTTAGGCCCACCCCTAAAAGTTCACACCAAAGGACCCTAATCTTCCGGGCAAGCTGTGAAATTTGTCCATCCTCCCAGGCCCCACATAAAAGAGGTCTCCAATTGTCCCCAGACACAGATGCCACCTTTGCATTGCCCACGTGTGTCACCCCCCCCCTTTCAATAAACCTGGCCTGAACATCTTCACTGCAGCCTCGTGTCTGGGCGCCACTGCCACAGTTTATATCTTTCATATGGTGCCAAATCCCGGGACTGGCTGCTGGCTACCGGCCTCCCTCGTCACCCCACTTTTCTCAGAACCTAGTTCAGTTGTTGCCAGACCCAACTCCACTGATCCACCTGTTGGAGAGTCCTAGAAGATTTCACCCCAACTGCCATTTCAATGTGAGTGAGGTCCCTAAATAGCTCCAAACAGATCCTCCCTCAGCTCGCTGTTCATCCCGCACTGTGCCTCTGTGTCCTCACCTCGCTTCTTCCTTCGTTCACTGGGGCCTAATTACAGGGTTTTGTCCCAGTGCTGTGTTCTCTCCTGTGGACCTCAAATCTTTTCATTTTTTGTTTTTCGCTTCAAGCTCAATGTTGGAGCCTCTTTTAGGCTTTAAGGTCCTAGGGGCCTTAAGTTCTCTGAGAAACGGTGATGCCTGGCCTTTCTCAGTCTGTCTTGGTTTTTAGCTTCTCCATGCTCCGAGCTGTGGGGAACAAGGGACACCTTTCCCACCCAGGTAGGTGAAGGAAATCTGAGACGTGCCCTCCCTGCCCCCAACAGAGATACCCCAGGGGTGTCTCCTTCAACCTCGATACAGATTAGAAAATGGGACCTTCAACTTCAGTATCTTCAAGAACTTAAATAATTTCTTCCAAAAGAAAAATGGCAGATGGAATGAAATTCCCCGTCTTCAGGCCTTTCTCTCTGCTCTTCCCCTTCCCTATACAAACTGTCGCTCTAATACCCCCCTTTCTATCCTCCCCATTCTTCCTATCTTCCTTCCTCCAGCTCCCACTAC